ACAAAACCATGACCCTAAACCTCCAAACCAAGGAACCAAATCTCATGAGGTGTTTGGTTGTACATAAGCAGCCTCAGCAGCTACTCTTTTTGTTGTTGTTATAAATATGTCTACCACACAACTTCTTCCAAGTATGCAACTTATTGACAGCACTTGCAGTAATGCGCTGTGCAACCCTACTGTTAATGCAATTTTTGTATGTGGTATTAATATATAGTTAGATCCATGTTTCTTTTTGTATTCAATTTTATGGCTTGCTTTTTTCCTTTTTAATTTTTAAAACATATGTAAAATACATGGTTCAAAAGTTAAAACCCTGTCGATTCAGAAAATTCTTATCTTATGCCACATTCCCACTCACTCTCTGTAGCTACCCATTTTCATTAATTTCTAGTTTATCTTTTATGTGTTTCTTTTTTAAAACTAAGCAAATATTTATATACACTTTACTTTCTCCTTTATTGCAAAAAGTAGCATGCTGTATATATTCTATATATATTATCATCTTAGTTTCTTAGTGCTACTGTAACAGAAATACCACAAGTGAGTGGCTTTAACTAACAAATTATTTTCTCACAGTTAGGGGGCTAGAAGTCAAATTCAGGGCACTGGCTCTAGGGAAAGACTTTCTGTTGGCTCTGGGGGAAGGTCCTTGTCTCTTTTCAGCTTCTGTTTCTTGATTTTTATGTGACTTGGCATCTGTCTTCCCCGGTCTGTGCTTCCTGGCTTCTGTGCCTAAATCTGCTCTTTTTATATCTCAAAAGTGATTGGCTTAAAACACACCTTATTAAATATGACCTTATTAACATAACAAAGAAATCCCTATTCCCAAATGGGATTACATCCACAGGTACAGGGGTTAGGATTTATAACACTTATTTTTGGAGGACACAATTCAATCCATAACAATTATTTTGCACCTTGCTTTTTTAAGATAACATAGCCTGGAAAATTCAACATAGCCAGAATTCATTTTGGTTTCTAGATCTTTTTCTTTCTCCTTTTCTTTCATATCCTCTTGTCCTCCTTCCCCTTCTTCCACTTCTTTTCTTCTCTCTCCTTCCATAGTACCATTGTAAAGGTGTACCCAAAGTTTATTCAACTAGTTTCCAATGGATGGGCATTTAGGTAGTTCCTAATTTTTTTGATATTTTATAGAATAATATAGTGAATAACCTTGTGAATATGTGGTTTCATATTTGTGGGGGTGCATCTTTAGGGTAAATTTCTATAAGAGAGTTCAAGGGTAAATGCATTTATAATTTTGTTAGCTATCTTCAGAAAAGCATTTTAGGCAGCGGCAGCAGCGAGTGCAAAGGCTCTGAGGCATGTATGTGGTGTGCTCAAGGAGCAGCAAGGAAGCCAGATGAAGAAACAAGTTTAGAGATAAGAAGTGACTTGCATAAGATCCTACACAGTAGTGATAGAGCTGAAATTAGAGCCCTGTCCTTCCTATTCCCAGACCAGTGCAACAATACTTATTAGAGAAGCAAGGAAAGCGGGGGACACAGTTGACCAAGGCCAGTGTTGTCAGGGCTATTAGGAGATCAGAGGAGGGAGAAGTTTTTCAGGGCCAGAGTCAGAGAAGACTTCACAGATGAGATGAGATGTGAAGGATGATTAGCATTGGGATAGCAGTTGAACGAGGGTAGATCCACATTCCTAGCTTTTGAAACTGGATAAGAGTTTAATGCATGGCTTTTTTGGGAGTGGAATGGTTTGTCAGAGGAGGAATGAGAGAAAAACTGCAAACAGGTAAGTAAATTGAATTTGGGTCTTGTTATAAAGTTCCTGGATTCTAGGGTGAAATCTGAAGTTGATTTAATTGTCTGTGGAGAGTCATTGCAAATTTTTGGAGTGGGAGTGAGATTGAAATGTCCCTTTATGTCTTCTGCAGTCTGGGATCATTGTGCCCATTTTTTTTTTTTTCTTGAAAAATTCATTAATTTATTCTTTCATGGAACACTATTTATTAGATGTCTACTATGTGCCTGGTAGGTTCCCAGTACTAGATGATACTTTGTTAAACTGTTTTTCTCTACTTAATATCTTTGGACTGGACTTCACATCTGTATTATGAAATACTCAGAAAATTGTTTCAAGTCTTGCCATCCCAAGACTTAAGGTTTCAATTAAGTTTCATAATTGCCCTCTACTGTGCTTAGAACTTAACTGGTTATAGACTGAAAAAATAACAAGAACAAAACAACAACAAAACCAGGGTAGGATGTGGTCTTTGTTTAAGGTGCTGAAGGAATGTGACAAGAGGATACTGCATTTTCATGTTGGGGCAGTAGGTGGGAGAGGGGAATATATAGTTTGTACTTCTGTCTCTTGTGTTTCTTATACTGGAAGTGAGGTCTACAGCTGTGCTGTCCAGTACTTTAGCCACTGGTCACATGTGTCTACAGAACCTTGAAATGTGGCTAATTGGAATTGAAATGTGTTGTAAGTGTAGAATGCCCACCAAATTTCAAAGACTTAGTACAATAACTTCCCTTTATAAAGACAGTTTTCTTTATCACTTCTAGAACTTTTCATTGTAAAGATATATATATATATATCATGACAAGCAGAGAAAATATGAAGTTGTCAAGGATTTCATTTTATTTAGATCCACAATCAAAGCCTATGGAAGCAGCAGTCAAGAAATCAAACAATGCATTGCATTGGGCAAATCTGCTGCCAAAGACCTGTTCGAAGTGTTAAAAAGCAAAGATGTCACCTTGAGGACTAAGGTGCCCCTTACCCAAGTCATAGTGTTTTCATTTGCCTCATATGCATGTGATAGCTGGCAATAAATAATGAAGACTGAAGAAGAATTGATGCCTTTAAATTATGGTGTTGGTGAACAATACTGAATATACCATGGACTGCCAGAAGAAGGAACAAATCTGTTTTGGAAGAAGTACAGCCAGAATGCTCCTTAGAAGCTGGGATGGCGAGACTTCATCTCACATACTTTGGAAATGTTATTAGGAGGGACCAGTCCCTGGAGAAGGACATCATGCTTGGTAAAGTAGGGGATCAGTGAAAAAGAGGAAGACCCTCAATGAGATGGATTGACACAGCGGCTGCAACAATGGGCTCAAGCATAACAGTGATTGTGATGATGGTGCAGGACCAGGCAGTGTTTTGTTGTACACAGGGTCACTATGAGTAGGAACCAACTCGACGGCACCTAACAACAGCATGTATATACGTTTTTAAAAACACTTTTCAGAACTTTTTAAAGATACAGTTTTAGCACTTCTGGGACTCTACAGAGTAGAGATTCATTTTCTCTTTTGCAATTAGAAAGAAATCTGTGGAGTGATACTTTGGCACTTTGGGAATATCATGTTCCCAAGCAACCATTTTTTTTAAACTAGTGGTTTTAGTATCCATTGAAGAGCCTTTCCTGAATATAGTAGGGGCTATGCAAAATGGTGATTTTTCTAATTCTATCATTTCTTTTTTTAGAATAGTTGGTATTACTTGGTAAAGCAGAACATTCACTTTTTTTCCCTCTGCCCTTTTCATTTAGTTTGTTTTTATGTGAAAAAGTTAGCTGTGTGGAATGTGAATCAGTCACTTCTTAAATAGATGTTTGATTAGAAAATTTGGATACAAATGAAATTTTAAAACATGGAATCATAGCTTACATGTATAGTAGTTGTTCATTCTTGAAAGGAATCTTGCTGTAAATCTTTTTCGCAAAGCTAGCAATTACCTCTTAATTTCTGTTATTCTTGTGGACCTGAATTTTTATGTGTAGCACATTTATTCAGCAAATTATTGAGTCCTGTTACGTGCCAGGCACTGTGGTAAGCGCTGGAATAGAGTGGTGAGCCGAAGAAACCTGACTGCTGCTAATGTAGGATGCATCCTGATAGCTCAAAAGACAGTGAGAGTGGCCCAGAATCCAGTGATTGAAGGCAACTATGAAGCTGTATCGGAGGAATCCTGATTTGGAAGGTATTACAGGCTTTTGCTAATAACCATGCTCAAGTAAATGCTTTGAAGTCAGAACCCTAAACAATCATTCTGTATGAGTTTGATGAGAAGACTATATAGTATAATTGGTAATTTCCTCCTGTTGTCTTTCTAATGTTCTGTTGAATTATGATTGCAGATTCCTCCCCACAGTGTGCAATTTTGCCTAATTTTTTGTCCTCTAAGGAAATTCTCCCACTTGGGGTCTATGCCTCCCTAAAGCATGCCCTAGAGGCATACTTCTGAGGCTCTGAAGACCCTAAGGATTCAGAGCAGTAGGGAGGCAATCATCAGCTGAGTCCTGCTTTTTCACTAGATTCCATCTGAGCTGGGTAGAAGAAGCACCACTTTCCTAGCATGATCAGTGGAGTCCATGGAAGAATAGGTAATTTCCAGAAGTTATAAAATGCCTTAGAGGCTTGGGACAACCTAAAAAATAACCAGCTGCTGTTGAGTTGATTCCAACACATGGTGATCCCATATGTGTCGGAGTAGAACTCTGCACCATAGAGTTTTCAGTGGCTAATTTTTTGGAAATAGATTACCAGGCCTTTCTTCTGAGGCACCTCTGGGTGAACTCAAACCTTCAACTTTTCAGTTAGCAGCTGAGCTTATTAACAGTTTGCATCATCTAGGGACTCCTGGGGCAACCTAGCATAGCTCAAACTTGAGGAGACCATGTTTCATTAGACAGATTCAGGTACAATACTTGTGCTGATAGATCTTTCTGTCCCTGCTGTCAGGTCAGTTATGGGACTCATATCATCTTGCTGAATTGGATCAGCTGTCTTGGGATGAAGAGTGGACCCTGCTGCACCCCAGCCATATGGCATGGTAGAACTCTGAGCCTTTTGAATCTCCCAAGAGAAGGTAAAGTGACACTTGGCTAGATAAATGTTTACTACAAGTATCTCTCAAAGAAAAGGGATTTTTCCACCAAGGATAAGTTTTGTTTTTGTTTTTGTTTTTTTTTTTTTTTGGTACTTAAACTATGTCTTCAGCAGTATCTCCGTTCATACTAGTAAGATGGACATGCCCACAGTTAGATGTGTACCTGTCTTTAAAACAATCCGATGTCTGTCAGTTACACTGCTATGACCTCGGATTCCAGAATACCAAGGCAACGTTCTTTAGAAGAGATGTTTCACTTTGGATTGAACTGATGTTTAGAATCAACTGACTGTCAAAGGGAAAAGGATGGCCCAAGTGACAAGAAAACACCTCTTACTATGAATTGGTTTGGAAGGTTCTTCTCTAAGTGTCCTGAGGATGTCTCCTTACTCAACACACAGCCACCTCTGTTGCTTTCATTCGTATCATCTGAAGATGAACCACATTTTATTTCCAACTTGAGGTAGGGAGTAGGGTGATTCCCCCCCACTCCCCCAACTTTTGCTCTTTAGTTGGAATATCAACTCAGTCTCTTCTTATAAGGAGCCAGGGAAAAGATGTTGATTCCAGTAAATTATAAAAGAAAACTGGGCTTGGGAAGAAAGTGGTTGCTATCTTTTCCCATGTGTACTTGAGAAGGCGGCAACTGACTAGTTCCTTCAGGCCTTGCTTGACTGGTGAAAAGAGAATGGCTGGATTGGGTGGAAGGGAGTCTCTTTCTTCTCAACTTAAGATGCTGAACCCTGACCAAATGAAACCATTTCTTGTGGCTGCCAGTAATTTCTACCCTTTGAAATCAGAACTCAAGGGTTTTGGCTTCAGTTAAGAGTCTGAAGTAATCAAAGGGGCCTGAGAGGAAGGCAGAATAAACTCTTAGTGCTGCAAATTTGATTAAGGAAGAGATGCTGGGCCAGTGACATGAACCCTCCAGGCTGTAGCACAGGCATCTGGGGACAAGCAGTGGGGAACATGCTTAGATGCTAGAAAAGGAGCAGGATAGAGTGAGGTCAGAAAGGGCAAGGGTGTGTATCTCATCCATCTGCCAGCACTGTGACTTGGTAGGAGCAAGTCAAACTAGAACGTCTGGAGTGGGCCTCCTGTCTCTCGCCTGTTGAAGTTTCCCTCTGCTTCTGATGACTAGAGTGGTTGACCATCTGATTTGCCTGGATCTGTTCTGGTTTTGGCACTGAAAGTTCCCCATCCTGGGGAAAACCCTCAGTCCTGGCCAAACTGGGACGGTTGGTCACTCTGATTGCATTCAAGGTATTTGGGTAACACATATGACAATGGAGAAACTGCCCCAGATCTCCCTCCTTTCTTTGTTTCTTAGAAAAGTGTACAATTGGCTCCAGTGTATGTGCAGGATTATTAAGTTACAATAAGAACAATAACTGCCGTCGACTGCATGCCTACTGTGTGCCAGGTACATGATCTTGTTTAATCCTCCTGGCAACAAAGGAGGTAGGAAAATTTTATCTCAATTTTACAGGAGGAAACTGGGGCTAAGAGCTGTAAGTATCTGTCAAAGCAAAGGGATTTTTCCACCAAAGATAAGTTTTTTTTTTTTTTTCTTACTTACACTATGTCTTCAGCAGTATCTCCCTTCAGTTTAGGAAACAAGTCTAGTTTCCCGAGGTCAAACAACTAGAATGTAGCCGAGTCATATTTGAACTTCAGTGTGTCTGAATCTAAACTCTGTGCTCTTTCCACTAAATGAAGAACTTGCTTAACTTGCTGGTAAACGGACAACTGCTCTGACTTAGCAAAACTCTGAGACCACCAACTTCACCCACTGCTTCCAAACACATTGCTAATCTTCATGGTGGTGTAAGATTTCCCGAGGTAATATACAGAGCTAAAAGATGTCCAGAAAGCTGCATTAGCTACTTTAGTCTGATACCTGTAGCAGCCCCTATCTTAGTCATCTAGTGCTGCTCTAACAGAAATACCACAAGTGGATGGCTTTACAAAGAGAAGTTTATTCTCTCACAGGCCAGTAGGCTAGAAGTCCAAATTCAGGACTCCAGGGGAAGGCTTTCTCTCTCTGGAGGAAGGTCCTGGTGATGCATCAGTCTTCCTTTGGTCTGGGAGCTTCTCTGCGCAGGAACCTCAGGTCCAAAGGATGCGCTCTGCTTCCGGCACTGCTTTCTTGGTGGTATGAGGTTCCCATGGGTTTCTGCTTGCTTCTCTCTTTTATATCTCAAAGGAGATTGCATTAAGACACTATCTAATCTTGCCAACCTCATCTGTATAACCTCATCACAGTGACAGAATTTACAGCACATAAGGAAATCACATATAATCTCATCATAGTGATAGAGTTTACAACACATAAGGAAATCACATCAGATTACACAATCGTACAACATTGGGAATCATGACCCAGCCAAGTTGCTACACACATTTTTTGGGGGACACAATTCAATCCATGACAGCCTCTAAACAATCTTTCAGTTCTTAAAGGAACCACTAAGTGCCTGGTACATAAAAGGTGCTCGGTGAAAGAGAGCTATGGTTGTTATTTTTAATTATAAGACACATAAGCAATAATCTTGAACTGAAATGTTTTAGCCAATGCATGTCAATTCAAATGTTTTAATATAAGAAGCACCAAAGATCCAGGGTATTATGGAAAGAAACTCAATAATATGCTTCTCCTTGAGTTCAAAATTAGACATACACATAAAACTCAACTTTTCTCTTACCAAGGAAAAGTTACTTGATTTGAAATAGAGGACAGGCTCCCTTGTTGTAATAAAAGGTTTTACCCATATAATGCTGAGATAGAAGGAAAAAATTCTATTCTAGGGCTGCAAGCTGTAAATGGTTCATTTCAGGGGAAAATATAATCCAGATGATCAGCCCTAAGAAATCCCCACGCTAAAATCAGAGATGATTAAAAGCTCTTAGTATAATGATGGAAGGCCTCAATTGTGAACATCACATCGAGAGGTAAGTGTCTTAAATTGTGTGGAGAGATGCAGGAAGCTTTTGAGCTACCCCATGCTTTTATTTCATCATTCTGCACTGGAGAGTTGTACCTTTACTAGAGAATGAAGCACAGTTAAGGCCACATAATTTCTAGCTAGATTTGAGGAGGACTCAAATAGAACAAAGAGACACATGAATTCAGTTTCAGGTCCAATTTGAAACCTTCATAGGCCCTAACCCACATCATAACAAATATATTAAAATGCACCCATAACATAATCCTATACATACATACTTTTTGCTGTACAATAAGTGAAAAGATTTTAATAATTTCGATTTTAAAATTATTTTGCTATGAGTGATTCATTTAATCTATGATTGGCTGCTGCTTCTCAGCAATCATTCATTCATGGGGATTTTTGCAAAACAAAAGAGCTTAATCTACGAATTGTTTTCAAATGTAATAAACTATAATTATAAATTAGACAATTAATGAGATTGACATGATGCTAGATTTTTTCTAAGCATTTAATTAGGCATTGATTAATTTCTATCTTGCAGTTTTTATATGTTGGAGCCAATACTTTTTTCCAGGTTTCAAACACTTTTGGAGGCCCTTGGAAAGCTCATTAGACCTAGGCATTGTCCATAATGTCTCGTGGATGAAAGGGCTGGGAATGCTTCATAGCTCTTCACGGGTGACTCCATACTTCTAGACAGGTGACTCCCAACCCTAGCCTCTCTTCCAAATGCTGGTCCAGCATTTCCAGCTATTTCTGGGTGTTTCACATGCTCTCTAGACCGGGTATGTTCCAAGCATCCTCTTTACTTCCTATCTACTTCTGTTTCTATTTTTCTTGCCATCTCTGTTCCTTTGGCATCACCACCTAGCTGGTGAGAGACTCAGAAGCTATTGTAATCATCATCAGTGGTTTCCAAATCTACTGGAATCAGGTATCAGGATTGTTGCATAAGAATGACCTGGGAACTGTGTTATAAATACAGATTTCTGTACCTCACCCCTGGATACCTGTGCAGTTATTCTGGGGTCAGGCTTAAGAATTCTCTCTCTTTTTTTTTTTAACAAGGTAATATGCTGTTGCATTTGGTAAGGCATGGGCTTGGGTGCTATTGGTGGGGTGAAAAAGATATGGTCTTAATAACAAGAACAATACAACCTATGTTGGGGTACCATGAAATACCACTGGCTTTATTTTCAGAAATTGAAGGTTCTCAAAGGGCTCCCCGGCTGTTTCTAAGCTGTCCCCAGGGTGTTGCTTTACCAGTGCTCAGGTATGTTCTAAGGCCATGAATCCATGAGATTATTACTGCAACAACAACTGATACAGGAAGAAATGTTGCTGTCCTCTTGTTTACTATGTCTCAAGTATGAGGCAGGTGCTTCATTAACACACCAGAGACCAAGTGCAAACTCTTAATGAAGTTTTCCAAAAGGGAAGCACAAAACAGAATAATTACCACTACTGCACAGACCCAAACTCAGTCTAGGGCCCCTCTACCCTGCTCTTGACCTGCCCCTTCCATGTGGCCAGGTGCAGCTTACTCTTCACTCGGCGAATCACTCCAGGCATCCCCACGGTTGGAATTCAGGCAAAACTGACTTACAGATCCAGAAAGAGAAGGAAGTTTTTTCTTCTCTCACTCTTGAAGCCTACCTCCTGAGCCCTCAATTCTTAAATCAGGATGCTCGACAGTGGGAATATCCAGTCCTTTCAAGGGAACCCAACCCAGAGGCATACCTTGTGGCCCCACTAGGGTAATCATACCGTAGTTTGTCATCAGGACATATTCTGAAGCCTGGGTTATTCACTTAAATGATACTGCATGTTCAACTTCAGTAACCTGTTTCAGGTTGCAAATCTCAGTCCAATTCCTTAACAGTCTGTCTTCAGGAAAGGTTCAAAAACCTTGAGGTGTAGCCCTACACAGGATTACCTTGTTACGTACCCTCTGAGCACAGTAAACTAATGATATGTCCTTTAATTGACATAATAACCATATGAATAGAGTTTTTATTTATTTATTTATTTTCCATCATTCATCGAACCAATGGAAGTGTAAAGAGATTAAGTGACTTAACCAGGGTCATCCAGGATGTGACATGCTGGGATTTGAAGTGAAACCTCCTGGTTCCAAATTTGTGACCTTAACTGTTCTGAAATGCTGAGAAACAATGAGGAAGTAGACTGGACGTTGAGTGTGTTTGACAGGATGTGGAATAATGATGTCATTAGGAGATTTGGGGCAAAAGTCAGAGGAGATGGTATGCCAGAAGAAGAGGGAGGACTATGAAGGAGATCAGCTTGGGCTATAAATGAAGAGCAAGGTCACTTGGCACTACTGGGCTCCTATCTTCTCTTTATCACTCTGTCTTGGCTTAATGGTTATCCTCTGAACTACCTTCTTCATTCCTGAGTTAATCACCATCTTTGACTCTCCAGGAGCCATGCACCAGCCCACGCTGTAGTGAAGCAGCCTGTCCGGGGAGCCAGTGGCAGGACCACCATCACCACAATTGTCCAGGCAGGCGGGGACTGGAGCACCGGCCTCTTCAGTGTCTGCAGAGATAAGAGAATTTGTATGTTTTTTCCTCTTCATTTAAGTTCTTCCTTTCTTTTTTCTTTCCCAAGACATCAGTAGGTCGAGGAGCTACATCAGGCACAAGGACAGAAATTAAATGGTTTCAGAACAACTGGACTAATCTGGAGACTTAAACGCACTCCTTGACAGGAAAAATCTTGCTTTTCAGGGCTGTGGAGGCTTTTATAGAATAAGTGGTGCCCTTAAAGATTTTTTAAATGATAATAAATCCATTGTTGGCAAAGACGCCCCAAAATGGGCTCCCTCATCCACTGCTGGTGGGGGTGTAAATTGGTACAAACTTTTCAGCAAGTGGTTTAGCAATACATATAAAAAGAACCTCAAGTGTTACATAGCTTTTGGCCTAATAATTACATTGTTAGGAATTTAGTCTAAGAAAATACTCACAAAGAAAGGTTTAGCAGCAATGTTAAATTTTGCAATATTGGTTATTATAGCAAAGACCTGAAACAACTTAAATCTCCAGTGGGGGAGGGGGGTACCCATACAATGAATCTTTATATAGCCATGAAAGTCATATTATAGAATAACATTTCATGAGATGAAGAAATGCTTTGGACACATTTTTAAGTTAAAGAAGCAGATTGTAAAACAATGCACATTAGACACCATTTTAAAGGGAAATATTTAGAAAAATGTCTAGAAGGATACAAATAAAAATGTTTATAGCAGATGACTCCAGATGGTAGACTAATGACTAATTTTTATTTTCTTTTTGCTTGTCTCTTTTCTAATATTTCTATAAGGAATATATAGTACTCTTATAACAACATGAACAATCACAAGAAGACCCCCTGTTCCTTAATTGAAATATTTTCTGACACTGGTTCAGCTCTAAAGAGATACCTCTAGCTACATGATTCTCTCTTAGGTTTGAAATTCAAAGTATATCAATTCTGTTTTTACCTTGGAGCCCTGGTGGCATACTTGTTAAGAGCCTACAGCTGCTAACCAAAAGGTCAGCAGTTTGAATCCACCACCTGCTCCTTGGAAACCCTGGGGCAGTTCTACTCTGTCCTATAGGGTCGCTATGAGTCAGAATCGCCTGGACGGCAATGGGTTTGGTTTTTTTTTTTTTTTTGGTTATTTTTACCTTAGGACATCCTGACCTATCTCTGGTACCACATATCTGGATTCCCTTCCAGGATCTGATACTATGGCCCTAGAAAATAGGGTTCTGAATAGGTCATACAGTCTCTCTTGGAGGAGGAGAGGTCCCTTTGATGGATGAGGGTCAGTCTCTCAGGTTCAAAATACAAGAGATCTTGGGTCTAATATCTTTGAATAATATGACTCTTCCACATGCTGAAGGCTTCTGGGAAGATCTGAATTTGTCCCAAAGCCTCACAGGATGGAGCAATCAGAAAACTTTGAGTTGTTATGTGGTCCAAGTTCTCATTGAACCCAGGAGTCTTGCTGAGACAAAGCTCTAACAACAGTTTTTGGTGTTCTGATCACCGCAGCTGGAGTCTTTACCGTTTTCTTGGGCCTCACAGAGAAGAGACTACCCAGCATAAATCCTACCCACCACCCCATCCCTTTGCCCATCTAACCCAGAGCTTGGCAGGTCTCTTCCTGCCACTGCTACTCATGTGGACTTGTGCCCAGACAACTATGGCAGCCCTTTGCTAGTTCCCTCAAGATTCTTCCTGGTTCTGTACTGTTTTCAAGACTTTGGTTGTGTGGAGACTCTGATGGTTAAGGTTGTGTGTCAACTTGGCTGGGCCATGGTTCTCAGTGGTTTGGCAGTTATGATGTATTTTGGCAGTTGTATGATGTTGTGAGCACTTCCATGATGAGGTTTGATATAATGTGATCACCTCCATGATGGGATCTGCTGTGAGTAGCCAATCAGTTGAATGGGAGTTTCCTTGGACATGTGGACTGCATGGAATATAAGTGAACATTCTGGTAAGTTTGTGGCTTTTTCTTCCTCTGGATCCTGCAGTTGGCTCCAGTTCATCTGACCTCTGGTTCTTGGGACTTGAGCTAGTAGATTACCTGTGGGCTTGTCTGCGGGTATTGGGATTCGTAGATCTTCACAGCCTGTGAGTAAGAGCCCTACTCTCTGACCTGCTGATCTTGGGTTCACCAGCCTCTGCAGCTACAAGAATCAGGAGAAGCCTCTATCCTGACACATGGACTTGGGACATTCCAGCCTCTACAACCACATGAGCCATTTCCTTGACATAAATCTCTCTCAATATATATTTATATGATTTACTGTTTTGCTTCTCTAAAGAACCCAGCCTAAGACAGAATTTGGTACTGAGAGAGTGGGGTGCTGCTCTAATAGATACCTAAAATGTGGAAGCGGTTTTGAAACTGTGAATAGAGGCTGGAAGAGTTTTAAAGTGCCTAATAATAAAAGCCTAGATTGCCTTGAAGAGACTGTTGGTGGAATTATGAACATCAAAGACAATTCTGGTGAGAACTCAGAAGGAAATAAGAAGAGCTTTTACACTGGAGACAGCGCAGATGGCGAGAAGCAGCAGCAGAGAAATGGCAGCAGTAGAACCAGGAGACATGGAGTGAGAGAGCTGAGTTCCTTTGCACAAGAGGCTTCCTGGTGGAGTGGGGTGCCTTCGGGCACTTACTGGTGTAGCTACAGAGCTTTGGAATACTTACCCCAGCAGGGCAGATGCAGGTGGCAAGGCCCAAGGGGCCAAGAGGCCAAGGAACCAGGAAGCAGAAACTGAAGAGACAAGGAACACAGGAAGCAGAGCTACCTCAGTCTCAAAGAGTAGGGCCACAACTCTGGGGTCTCAAAGAGTGGAGTCACCACTCAGATGAACTAGGAGAATGGGGCCGCCCAAATCCAAAGGAGCAGAGTTGCCATTCCAGTGGGCCTGGAAGGCAGAGCTAAAGCCCAGGGCCAAGGGGCCTCCACTAAAAATCCAGAGAGTGTGGCCAATACCTAGAGTCTGGAGGGCAGGGCCATTATGTAAATTGTCTCAGAGAACAAAAGATTATTTTCAAAGCCTTGAGGGCTAATGTAAGGTGTTCTGCTGACTTGCTTGGTGCCTGTTATCACTTCTTTCCCTCCAATTTCTCCCATTTGTAATGGAAATGTCTATCTTGTGCCTGTTCTACCATTGTACTTTGGAAGCAGATAACTTATATTCTAGATTTCACAGATGAGGAATTTTTGGATTTTGGACTTGGAGTTGATTTAAGACTTTTGCTATGATATGATGGGCTGAAGGTGTTTTACATGTGGCAAGGACATGAATTTTTGGAGGCCAAAAGGTAGAATGTTATGAATTGAATTGTGTGTGAATTGTGTGTGACTGAAAAATGTGTTGTCAACTTGGCTAGGCCATGATTCCCAGTATTGTGTGATTGTCCACCATTTTGTCATCTGATGTGATTTTCCTATATGTTGTAAATTCTACCTCTATGATGTTAATGAGGTAGGATTAGTGGCAGTTATGTTAATGAGGCAGGACTCAATCTACAAGATTAGGTTGTGTTTTGTCAATCCCTTTTGAGATATAAAAGACAGAAGTGAGCAGAGAGACATGGGGACCTCATACCAACACAAAACCAGTGCCAGGAGCAGAGCATGTCCTTTGAATCTAGGGTCCCTGCACTGAGAAGCTCCTAGTCCAGGGGAAGATTGATGACAAAGACTTTCTTCCAGAGCTGACACAGAGAAAGCCTTTCCCTGGAGCTGATGCCCTGAATTTGGAATTCTAGCCTACTAGACTGTGATAAATCCCTGTTAGTTAAAGCCATCCACTTGTGGTATTTCTGTGATATCAGCACTAGATAACTAAGACAGAGGTCTACCCCAAATAGTGTTATGGACCGTATTCCCTTCATAGCTTATAGTTGGGGGAAAAACATCAATGCACTCCAACTTGCACAAAACGTAGAATATAGTGTAGTGGTTAAGAGCTTAGATTTACATCATACATAGGCCTGGGCTTGATTTCTAACTCTGCCTCTTGCTGGCCATTTAACCTTGAGCAAGTTCTCTGGATCTTCATTTTTCCATCTCTAAAATGAGGGTGAGGATAATAAAAGTGCCTCCCTCAAGGATTGTTGTCATGGTTATGCAGATAATCCATAGAACCCACTGTTAACACTGGTTTGGAACATAATTGGATACCTTAGGGTTTTTTGGTTACAATCAAGCATTGGATTTCATTAGAAGACTATGGGGTAGCTCAAAGAATCAAAGGATCAACTAAAAACCAAGCTCATAAGGGATAAGATGTATTATCAGGAGCTAGCTGACAATCTGGTCAACTCTAGATGTTTTATCCTTGTGTCATCCTGTCTGAGAATATGTTTTGGCAGAAGGAGCTCCACTTGCCTAGTTGGGTAACTTGCCTACTGCTTGGCCGGGCCAGGGAACTTTAAATGATAGTCCCACCAATATTGCTCACAATAGTGAAGGGGTAAATTCCTAAAAGTAGATTGGGACACTGTTACCAGGAAAATCCCAACAAATATCATTACAATGCACTTAATGAATCTTAGCATTATAGTTATTATAAATTTTTATTATCCTTTAGCATATTAGAGCAGGTGCCCACCTCAAGGGCTGTTGTCAGTATTAGAGCAGATAATCCACAGAACCTACTCTTAACACTGTTTTGGAGCATAGCTGGATCAGTTAGGGTTTTTTGGTTGCAAGTGTGGTGGATTAATTAGTTTTGTGTGTGGCCTTTCTAGCCACGGTCTTGCAAGCTGATTGGGTGGGACTGTGTGATAGGGTAATTGTGGCTTACCAAGGAGATTGGTCAGTTCTGCCTTAAAAGAGAGCCAATTCCAGAGCAGAGAGGGAGATCCCACCACCACCAAGGAAGAACAGTCACGAGCTGGCATGTCCTTTGGGCCTTTGGATCCCTGTGCTGGGAGGCTCCTGGAACAAGAAGACAGACTGAGAGTGAGCTATAACCCTGAAGACGGTGAGAAGCAGTGGCAAGAGAGACCTGGCAGCCGGAGACAGCACGGTGGGCTTCCCCG